TTTTATATTTTAATTTTTAATTTTTATATTTTTTATTATTTTAAAATATATAAAATATTATTTAAATATTTTTTAATATATTCTTAAAATATTAAAAAATTAAAAAATTTACATAGCAGTACTCCCATACTAACTCTAATCTAAAAAACCTTTAATAATTCTCTTGATAAGCGGAAAAATTAAAAACCCGAAATATCTTTACCGGCTCCTTCATTTACCACAGCAAAATTAAAATTAAAGTTCGTTTAAGAATTGTCTGTATTTATCTCTCCCACTTTCTCCTCCGCCTCGCTCGATCTACCCAACTGAAGAACACAGGTTGAAGGCAAACTCTCTGGCGATCACCAGGGACGGAGCCAAAAAATAATCTTAGGGGGCGGAGTGCTATTTGAAATGCGTATTCTAAAAATGAATTTTTTGATTTGTAATTTATAAATAAATTTAAGACTATACAAAAATTAAAATTTTAAAGATTTTAAATGCAGAAAAATTTGTTAAAATTTATATGTATTTAAATTTAAAACATAACTTTTATAAAAAAATATTACTTAATATGATCAAAATATAAGAAAACTAAATGTTTTAAAGAATAGACAATATCAATTTTAAGTCAATTTTATTTTGTTATTTAGTACAAATAATCATTAATTATGCATATATTACAAGACAAACATATCAAATAAATAAAAATATTTTATTCAATTTATTTTACTTGTCAAGTGGTTAGTAATTTATTATAAGATCTATAAAATAATAAAAATTAAAACACATCATTTTATTTTTTTCAAAAAGGGTTTATTTATTTTTTTAAAAGTATAGGACCTATTTAATTTTTTTTCAAAAGTCTAGGGGCGGCGAGCGCCCCCCTTGCAACCCCCCTGGCTCCGTCCCTGGCGATCACAACGGTTACTCTCCGCCGCTCTCTACATCGCTCATTCGACCTATACAGTGGTAATATTTCCTTTTTTTTCTCATGTCACCGCTATCATTCATAAGATGGGCGGAAAATTAATTTCAAAAGTCATAATGTCGTGTTTCGATCTTGTTTGACATCTTGTATAGTCTTTTTGCGAACCTCTAAATTTAAATATATTGTTTATTTTTACTCAAATGTAATTAAATTTAATCTAAATATATGTATTTGACACCATATATTTTAAAGTTAAAATTATATGTATTTCAAATATATTTTTTAACTTATGGATTTTAATTCTAAATTTTTGTATTTTATCAAAATAAAATATGTCCTCAATGGAATCTTGGACTAAGTTTTGCTAGTAGCAATTGGGTAATCTATCTACGAAATTAAAAAAATGTATATATATTTATGGTGTGTTTTCATGTATTGATTTTTTAATTTTTCCTTAAATTTTAATTTTTTAATTTTATAATTTTTATTAAATTCAAGAATTTTATTACAAATACTTAAAGTTAAGATTTTAAACTTTCCTATATCAATCTATTATGTTCTTCTTTGTAAAGAGGTTAATATTTTTTTTTTTGTCAAAATATGTTTAGTTTATAATTTTGAAAGAATTTAAACAATGTTTGAATATTTGAAAATAAAAAATATATGTAGTTTTCTTATTACTAAAATAGAGATTCAATTTAAATAATAAGTAGAAGAGGATTTAATTTAACATAAAATTTAATTTTAAATGCCTAATATTGTAGGATATTTAAATAATATATTTTTAAATACATATAATTTAAATTTATTTTTCTTTATTTAATCCAAATAATGTATTTAAAATACATACATTTAAAATACATAATCTCAAATGCAACCTTAATGACCTTAGGGTGTTTTTTTATCCTGTTAGTTATATATTAATTATATATATTATTTATTAATTATTATAAAATTAAAATTTAAAATTATCAAATTAAAATTGAACACACCTATTATTAACGTTTAAAATAAAATTAACTTTTTTATTTTAATGTAAATTAATAATAACAAATATAATTAATATACCTCTAATATGTGCTTTTTATAACAAAAGATATAAGGTAATCAGAAACCATAACCTTATAGTGAAATTAAGGTTTAAAACTTTGGAATTTGGGGTTAGCTTTTAATTAATTAATTTTTTTAAATACTCGAAGTCGACGTGCAAACGTGCCTTTAACATCGTGTGATGTGAAAAGGTATTATACTTGAAGATCGTGCTAGTGCGAGTTACCCAAAAATACTCTGCAAAATTAAAAAGACAAAATTATAGTCAACTCTACATTTTTCCCACAACTTTCTTTTCCAAGTGAACATCGTGGATCCAAATATTTCTGCGGGATATTGTTTTTTTATCATTGAAAGTTTGATCTATATCCATATGAGGCAATTTTTCTTTGTGTCAATCAACAATGGAATCATTATTTCCACATGGGATTTAGATATTTTTATTGAATTTTGACTTATAAAATAGATATTTGACAATAATTAGACCTATAAATAAATAAAAATTTGATAAATAAAAATATAAATAAATTAAATAAAGTATTAAAATATTTGAACCCCAAACTCAGCTCTCCTGTAACAAACTTGAGTTTGAACTCAAAAAAATAAAGATCAAATTCAATTAATTTATCAAATAAATATTATATAAATCAATATCCAATTGACGTGGAAATACACCCATAGTGCGGAGAAATAAATATGGAGACCAAGTTCAAACCCAAAGCAAGTCATTTTGTGGCCTTGTGCAATTCCCAAATGGCACTATTAATTAGTACACAAGATACATAATTTTATTACTGGATTGTGATGATACTCGCTACCATTTTGGACATGCTACTCCAACAACATGACGGTCTTTATTGTGACTATTTCAGCGGCAAAATAACATTATAGTTTTCTACGCTCCGAAGGACGCAAGCTTAGGCTTACTAGGAGGCTTAACCAAAAACACATCAAGAAGCCTATCAATTGAAGTGTACTTGTACTCAGGGTACAACTCCGACGCTTCCAAATCTTCCTCAGTTAGCTCAAAGCTCGTCTGATCGCCTTTCACAAATATGCTGTGCCGAATCGCCGGCGGTACGTTCTCCGGACTAGGCAATGCTACAATTAATGAAAAAATACACAATATTTCTTATACATGCCACAAGACATAAGCATTTAATATATGATTAATTAATAATCCATGTTTTTAACTTACTCTCAGTTTGCCTTATGATTTCCTCCTCAGGAACATGAGCTCGTATGATGTTTCTCCCAGTTTTTTTCTCCCAAGAAGAAATCAATTCCAGTTGAGATACAACATTGTCCGGAGGCCTTATGATAACAAGGCGGTTGGCCGCTCTCGGATCTGTAGCTGCCATGACTATGTAAGTTGCTACATCCTCCTCATAATTTAGTACGGCTGCATCAAAATATTGAATGTATAGAAATGAGTCAACTTCAATTCTTTCCGTTCAATACATGTACATGTATATATATATATGTATCAAAATATCTTAATTTTGTAGTACCATTTGAGTGAAAATAATTTTAATGAGTTATACTAATCATTTATAAACATTATGCATTATTTCAATATTTATGAACATAACAAGTTGTAAATGCCTTTGAAATTAATAGGTGAAAAGTCCGGAATAACCATGTTATCAAAAAAATGAAAAAAATCCAAGTTTTGTCGGCCTTGACATAAATAAATACCTTTTGCTTCTCCACTTCCATAAATGATGACTTGGTGGTCTTTCTCCTCTGGATGGAGCAAATTGTTAACAAAGTACACTCCAAATGAGTTGCCGGAGATGAAAGTGTAAGAGAGTCCAGCCGCCTCCGTGGCCCTTCGGATCTTTCTTTTGTTGGAGAGCATTGCCTCGAAAGGTGGAAGAGCTGTCACTCTGTCTGCTTCGTTTCCATACTCAGAAGGAACAAATCTCTGTAAGTACAAAAGTGTGAGGTCGACCGCAGATCATCATATTTATTAAAATGGTATTACACAAGCACCTTTAAATTTGGGATTTTCTTTGATCTTATTATAATTAATTACTCTTAAATCTCTACCTATTGATAGTTGCTTTTAAATTGGAATTGTACACTTAAACATATATAAAATACTAATTAAAGTTTAAATTTATTAATCGTGTCGTCTTCCTCAATTAGTTTTAGAATTGATGTTTAATAATATTAGTTACACTGATGTAAGTCATGTAACATGTCTCTGACAAAAATAAGAGAGAATTAACCTTGATGGTGCCAGCATCTTTCATGGCTTGTATAATATTGAGTTGCTTAAGGTATTGAGGGATTGGAAGTGCAGAGATGACGACATCTACTTGTCGAAGCACAGAAACTAGTTTTTCATGGTCATCCAGCTCACCCTGTTTTAATTCCCAATATATAGACAAAAGACTCAGTATCGAAACATATATAATCATCAGAGGCAAACACATTATATATAATAGGGAAATCAAAGAAAATATTTTCCTGGAAAAGTGTGACTCCCATGGACTCAAATTCCCTAAGAAGTTGGAGCTTGGAAGAGTTGTTGTCGTTTTGTTTGAGAGGACGAGTGTAGGCGTAGGTGTCATGGCCCATGGAAATGCTTGCCTTCACCAGGTACGTTCCCAGGTATCCGGTCGCTCCAAATATCAGTATCTTGCTTTTCTCAAATGCCATTTTCCGTTCAGTACCGCTCACGTTCGACGTCTACCTTTCTGCAACAAAACGACAGTAGTGATGAATTTGTGCAAATTATTGCAAAATGCAGAAATACATGAATCGAGACTACAAAAGTAAATATCATCTACGGAGAGTGCACCGAATCTCTTCTTTTTCTCTTTCCTTTTGGGAGATGAGAAAAGTGGATTGGGGTTAACTAAACCTGATTGCGGTGCTCTTGTTCGAATTTTAATATTTTTTAAATAAATTTAATTTAATTCATTAATAAAATTTTAAATCAATTCAATTTATTATTATATGATAATTAAATCAATTTAATTTAAATCAGATCGATGTGATTCAGTCAGATTAATTAGTTTTTAATATTATTAAATATATGAGATAATATAAAAAATTTTAACATAAAATAAAAAATATAACTATAAAATACATTAACATCCAAATGACTAGAAACATAATAAAATGCATAAATTATAAATAAGTTCTTATACTCATTTACAATTGTAAAAATTAAAAAGATTTGGAAATTCTTCTTGACTACATTACTAGAGACATCAAGAATAATAAAAGATGACTTTAAATTTTAAATATAGTACAAGTAATTCTTAAATGTTAAAACTAATTTTTTTTCTTAATGCAGCAAATGATTCAATTCCATCTTCCAAACCTTGTTAAAAGCAATTAAAATTTAACATAAATGTCATTAGTAATTATTAGAAGCGTTCATAATTAAAATTTAAAACTTGTTAACCAAATATCCAAAAATTATAGAATATCAAATTTAGTTATATTATATAGTTTTAAGACTTCTAGAATGATATTTCTTAAAATTTAATTAAGAAAATCAAAATATTACTTTAAGAACAAATTAAAAACTTAGAGTTCTCAAAATAGAGTCATAAACTATTTATAAGAAATAGAATTACAAGTGAATTGAAATTTAGAATTAGAGATAGAGTGTAAGATTTAGAAAAGAAAGAAAATTAGAGAATATAGAGATATTTTATTTTTATTTTTAAATTAAGTTAATGAAGTTATCATCTTATAAAATAAGAAAAAAATTTAAAATATTACAACAGAAAACTATATTATTTAATTAAATTATTGTGTAATCAGATTTTATTTTGTAATTTGACAGTTCGAATAATTTGAAGGTAAAATTATAAACTAAATCAACTATATTGGTTTTAAAATTTTATAATTCAAATCAATTTAATTTTATATTGATTTGGTTCAATTTTTTATTGAATTAGATCAATTTAAATTTGATCAATTGGTTTGGATTTGATGTGAACACCCTAGGCCAAGATCTCTCAAATTTTGTCAGCCTAAGGAATAAGTAATACTGTTTTTATCCATAAAATAAAAACATATAATCTCTTAATTAATAACAAAATATAAATTAAATTAAAATCATATAAATATCCCTCTCTCTTATCTCAAATTGTAGTCGTGCTCCATTATTTATTTTCAAAAAAAAATTGTAATAGTAGCAAAAAAAAAAAAAGATGGGTAATATATGAATAATTTTTTTATATTATATTTTATATTATTTATATATATTAATTAAATAAATATATTAAATATTACATATTTTAAATAAATAATAATAATAATTTAAATAAAATTAAATAAAAAATAATAAAAAATTGTCTTTAATTTTTTTTAAATATTATTTTTTTGTCCGAAAAAGCTGACACGGACATACAGAAAAGTAAATTGCCGTTCGTCATTGCTATCGCCGTGAGAAGTGGGGTCAACAGTGAGAAGATAGAATAATGAAGAAAATTTTTTTTTCTTAGATTAAATTAATTACATATATTAATTAAATAAATAAATAAAAAGAAATTCGTGCAGTTTGAGTACATCGGTCATAAAAATTAAACGACTTAAATCTATGACCTATGTCATTGGGTTGGTGCGAATTGTTCATGAAAGAGATTTGTTTTGGGCGGCCGTGAATGAAAAAGTTAGTCAATCGTGCTTTGATTTGATATCTATATCGTGTGACAGATACATACGAGGAAAATCGACTTGCAAGTTTTACATATTTTTCATTTTAACAGTTATTGATAAAACATTTCATTTAATATGTTTTATAATATATTTATTAAAAAATTATTATTTTTAAAATTTAATTGAAGACACAAAAATTTTTAATTGTAAATTTTAGTGGCTAAATTAAAAATATTAATAAATGTATTAAATTAAAATATATACAAATCATTTTTTTCTTTAATTTCAACATGTTATGTACAATTTTTTTTTTTAATTCCAACATCTTGTGTACAAATCTTTTTTGCTTTTTTCAATTCCAACATGTTGAAACTCTCCAAAAAAAAAAAAAAAATTCAACAAATTGTTCGTGTGGTTCACAAAAAATAACATACTTTGAAAAAAATTTTCAAAGGAAAATATTTTCTTTTCCATTAGTTATTTTCTTTTGTTTGGATGACTCTGAAAAAAATTTTACAAAAAATTTTCTGTTGTTGGTTGACATTGGAAATCTTTATATTTTCCTCAAAAAAGAATCCATCATAGGAATATGAATATCAAGAAAACTCTAAGGATTTAAGTAAAAAGGAATAAATATTTGAGGACTTCATCTAGGATATTGCCCACATGTCTTTACCTTCTTTTTCATGGTAAAAACTTACTTTTAACCCTTTATCTTATTAGATTTATAAGTTTTAACCCTTTTCATTATATTATGACACTTTTAGTCCCTCACCTATTAGAATTGAAAAAAATAATCCTCATTTTATAATATTTTGTTAGTTCTATTAAATGATTGTTAAATCTGTTAGCTGACGTTTAATTTTATTAATTGAAAATAAGTTTTTATTAGCTAATAAAATTAATAGTTACCTAATAGAATTAACAGTCAACTAACAGAACTATTCTGTTAGCTAACTATTAATTTTATTAGTTGAAAGTAAATTTTTGCCAAATAACAATAAATTAATAATCACCTAATAAAGTTAACAATAAGTTAACAATCAGTTAACAGAACTAATAAAATGTTATAAGTGAGGGCTATTTCCTTTATTTCTAATAGGTAAGAGGCTAGAAGTGTTATACTATAAAATGAGGGGTTAAAACCTACAAATCTAGTAAGTTAAAGGGCTAAAACTAGGCTTTTGCCCTTCTTCATAAGCTCAAATTGGAGAAATGTATTTGTATTCTTCTTTGAAAGACCTTGGAGATCAAGGACCTCATGGTGTTTGTCCTCCTCAAAGGAACATAAGCTCTAGACGCCTTGGCATATGGTTGATAAGATTCTAAGGCAGTAGAATATTGCTATATTACGAGAGATTTTTCTTTGATGAAAAATAGTTAAACTTTGTTTTAAAAGTGCAGATCAAGAGGTAACATGTGAAAATTAGTCATATGAGTTTTAATACAAAATTTGCATCCAATTTAAATTCAATTAACAATAAGTGGAGTAATCCTTATATTTAACTCATATATTTTTTGTTATATACTTGATATGGAATTTTCTAATTTAACAACATGATAAGACAACGTGTTAGGTGAAAAAATTTCACATTGAATATATGATAAAAAAGTATGTGGCTTAAATATAAGGAGAGTTATTTTATCTATTACTAATTAATTTTAAATTAAATGCAAATATTGTGTTGAAACTCACATGTTTAATTTTCATACAACAGTGTTGGCACTAGCCACCACCACTATGCTAGCAAAATTTATGAAAGCACTCGATCAAAAGTCACTCTAATTAGACCCAATAGAGGCACCGTGGTTTTGAACTTCTTAATTGAAAATTGGTGCTAAAACCCACTTGATTTGATAATTTTAGATCTTTAGATCCATGTGTTTTCAAAGAAAAACATCTTTTTGAAAAAATTCTAGAAGTTGATTTCCAAAATAATACAATAGTATTTTCCATTAACTAGTTTTCAAGATGATTCTCAAAGATAGGAAAATGGAAAAACTGATTTTTGGAAATAATTTTCCATGTACCAAATGGACCCTAAAGGTTGCCGAATCACTTCCTTAACCAAGGGAACTAAAGATAGTAGCTATAATGTTTGCAAGGAAATGAAAAGTCGAGTAGTGCGTGCTTGAGTATTGAAACTTGCTTGAGATTGCTTGAAGATCAATACTCGAATGTGGGCAGTGCTAAGTTGGTTTCAGAGAGGGGTGAGGCTTGCTTTCAATGACCAAGGCCTTTTGGTTTTTATAGCCTAAATTGGAATGCTGTTAGAAATATGAGCATGCCTTTGCTTAAGGTTCAAAGTCCTTGCCATCGTGCTTTTATGTCTTGATTAGAAACTTAGAGAGAACAAAAGAAGCCCTGATTAAAAAAGAAACTATGATTAAAAATTCAAAAAAGAAAAGAAAATAAGATGACGTAACAGCTACACAAGCTTCTTTGCCTCCCTTGAAAAAGTTTTGTCACTTTGGGACGGTGCAGAGGGGCTGGGCTAATTTGAGGAATATTGAAGAATTCTGCCAAGTTCAAGATTTTGAAGGAAGTGTGTGGTAAGTGTGATTCTTAATTTTAAGTCAAGATTGTCAAACAAATTTAAAGGTAAATAAAACAATGGAATAAGCACAAGAAATTAGGCTACTGTAGTTTAAATCATTTAAAAGAAAAGAGAAATAACTACAGTAGTGAGTTGAACTGTGAAATCTTTCTAGTTCTAGTGTTGGGATTAATATGTTATGTGTATTCAATTTTCTGAATTATGTTTTGTGTATTTGACTTGGGCACTTTATTACACCCTCTTTCTATTAGTTTTATAGACCATATTAAGTAAATAATTGATCTATTGTGCATGTTTATGTGCTATGTGTGGTTTTGTAATGTAATTTTCTTAGAACTATGGAGAGTTTAGACCCCAGCCTAGGCATAGGGGTTAGAACAGTGAACTAATGGACCTTTGCGCAGTAGGTAAATGCTATGACTAGCTCTAGCACCTAATGTGAGTGCATGCACATTCATTGGGCTCCATAGTTTGTGCTATTTCTATTTGATGTGCTGTGTTTGTGTGATCATTTGTAACTGCAATGCCTTAATTTTCTACAAGGTTCGTACAACTAAGAACTAAAGGTATTTTTCTACATAAGATACTAAAAATTAAATTATCAGCTTAACTTAAAATTAAGAATTATGCTTACTGGGCTGTGAGCTCATGGTATTATCCCCACCATTTCAAATAGCAGTAGTGAAGAGTAGTTGTTATTCTTAAGAATTTTTGTGGGTGGAGGCCCTATGCTAATTGAAGTTGAGCTTCAAAAATCAATAAGGCAAATCTATATCTGTCCAAAACTTCCATTTGGCTCTATAATTTTAAAACTATCTGTACTGTATTGATACTGTATTGAGTCCAGGAATAGTATATAAAATGACTCTTTTGATTTTAAAGATATTTTCTACATTTTTTTTCTTTCCTAGTTATATAGCACATCTCCCTACTTAATAGACCTATGGTTTTCTCAGAAAGGAGATGTTATAGCTTGAGGATCCATATACTCGAATGTGGGTAGCACTGAGTTGGTTTCAAAGAGGGGTAGGGCTTGCTTTCAATGGCCAAGGCCCTTTATAGCCTAAACTGGAATGTTGTTAGAAATATGAACATGCCTCTACTTAAGGTCTAGAGTCCTTGCCATCGTGCTTCTGTGTCTCCATTAGAAACTCAAAGAGAATGAAAGAAGTCCTAATTGAAAAAGAAACTATGATTAAAAATTCAAAAAAGCGAAGAAACTAAAACGACATAACAGCTACACAAACTTCAATGCCTCCCATGAAAGAGTTTTGTCACTTTAGATAACATATCATAGTAGGCCTTCATGATAAGATTTGTTATAAGATTTAAAAATGTGATAATGTTAAGTTAACCATTTAGTAATGTAGTGGCAAGTGTTGTTTTTTATTTGTAATAATTGACTAGTAAATTATAAGAAATTAATCTTTTCAATTATAAATATAGTTAGCACTACATTATTAAACTGGGATATTCTTGATTTGCTAACTTGTTGAATAGAAGAATTTCTTAATTTGAATTGTCTTCAATAAATCAAAAGAACAATCATAATGGAGACAAAGCCCAAATAGGCCAAGTTTGCCCAACCCACAGAGCGTGAGTTCCATCCCACCATGGCCGAAGTAGATACTCCATTGGCAAGTTGAAAGGAAGCATCAACATTAACCTTTAGAAAACCAAAGGAGGCATTAGACCAGATAAACCATTGTTGTGATTGTCTTTGTGCTAGACAAGTAGTGGGATCAAATAAATCCACAGATGGGGCATTATAATGTTCCTAGATGATCAAATTAATTCAGTTAAGTACCTCTTGGGGATTAACCAATGATTGCTCAACATATCTCTTATTCTTAGATTTCCGTGAGTACCATTGTGTCAATAGATACGACACTTTGTTCTAGCATATTATACTTCTCATACTTTTTGTAGCATGCACTATCTTGATCACTTGCTAAAACTAAAAGAATTCACCCTAAAATTAAAAAGTTAATTTTAAGAGTTTGGTGTTTTGTAGTGCACTGACTAGCGGTGGTGTTGGCTGCAATGATTCGTCCGATGCAATGACTTTATCAAGGAGCTAGAGAGCCCAATGGCTTTTGATTAGGAAGATTTAAAGCGAGAACTCACGGGGTTGGCACATTTCTAATTAGATTTGCTATAAAAACTCAATGGCTTTTAATTGGGAAGATATTATGTTTCTAATTTGTGTCTCAAGCTGGTAATAATGTAGGAGTAAGGTATTGACAGCCTATATATAAATCTGTAAAATCTTAATTTGGTTGTTCTAATCTATTAACTTAGCGAGATTTTGCACCAAATAAAATTGGTAGTACTTCAATTTCTTTAACAAGTTACTAACTAGAGCTAGAATAATTTAATATTCTGCCAATGAAAAATTCATGTCTGCCAGGCAAATAGAAATCCAAATTACAGGCCTTTGGACATATAGATGGTAACACACCAACAGTAGGCCGACTGACAAATCTTATTGGACTGAATATAAAGCCCAAAATAATTAGGCCATCAGCTGCACCTGCAATATAATTTGTTGAAGAACTTGCTCTACCCATTAGGTGTTTATTTAATAATATTTTTTTATATTTTGATTTTTAATTTTTATATTTTTATTGTTTTAAAATATATAAAATATTTTTAATATTTTTTAATATTTTTTTTAAAATATTAAAAAATAAAAAAATTTACAAATCAGTACTCCCATACAAACTCTAATCTAA